AACACTAGCCTCTTTTACAGTTTCACATGGGATCAGCTTTACCTCATGCTATAGAAGAAACTCAACTTATGCAATTAGTCCCAAGCTGTGACTTTTCTCTTTTGCTTGCAATTTGAAAATTTCTTTATTTTCTTTGATCTTAAATAAACTCATAATTTTCAACCACTCTAGTTTTATCAGTCCCGTCTGCAATCATCGTCACTCCCACTAGATTATTTTGTGTATTTTTTCCTGAAGACTACTTTTTTTTGATATAGTAAGACATGCCATAATCATTTACACATATACATTTCATTTTTGTTTTTTCAGGAGCCACATTTACTCTTCCTTCTTAATTCCCATTCTAATCATTTATTTCTTTTTTCAGTAACCCTGTTTTCTATACCTTTCTTATTAATTTTTATTTCTAATCTGCAAATTCTACTTCCTTTACTCATTTTATTGATTGCTTTAATAAGATGTTTAAATGATAACACCCAGGATCTTATTCTTATATATTTATTAACTCTTGCCATTCCCAGCAACATGGATGGAGCTAGAAGGGATTATGCTCAGTAAAATAAGTCAGAAGGAAAAAGAAAAAAATGTCAAATAATTTTACTTATAGGAGGAATGTAGGGGAACCAAGTAAGGGATCAGGAAAACATAATAACAATAATAATAATAATATGTAAAAAATTAGCAAGCAACTATAAATCAGAGACATTCTGCAGTGGAGGAGGAGGCAGAGGGATCAAAACAGGAGGGAAGAACTCGTGGAACTATGGTGATGGTGTATAAGTGAGTTGGTGGTGGGAATTTTATGGGGACTACACCTAAGAGGAGAAAGCAAACATTGTCCAAAAATGAACAATGATGTATACACACACACACAAATTAAAAAAACAAACAAACAGTAAGAACCTTTGAACTGGGTGCTTTGGGCAAAACTGTACTCTTATTCCTCAGCCTGATAGATGTTGTTTTTGAGTTTTGAGTTACACTACTTTATTCAGTTTTCACTTTACATTGATGACTCATTTGTGAAGAGTTCTCTTTGTTTTCTTGAATTTCTTTCTTTCCTTCTCTTTTTCATTTTTTAAGCAACCTCATTCAATTCCCTGCTTGCTCACTCATTTTGCTGTACACACTCTCCTTCCCATGGTAAGATGCTTTCTTGCTTTCTGATGCTGCCCAATCCTTTGGGACCCATCCAGACAGGGAGGGTCTCAGACATGAGTTATTTTAGATTGTCTGGGAAGATCTAATTAAGGGTCAAAGTAGTAGATGCTGTGGGAGGGCATTTGTCACTGAGTGAAAGAGATGACTCTTGCCATATGCTCTCCAAGGAGAAAACAAAGGCTGTGTACACATATGAACATGATTTTGCAAATACGTTAATTTTTTTCCTACAGATTTAAATAACAGGGTAAAGGCAGTAAAATGGATGAAAAAAGAGATTTTTTCAGTTACTAATTAAAGAAGAATCATTCCAAGTACTGACCAACTAGATTTGAGAGAGTAAATAAACCCCCAGTATGTCAAAAGCTTCAAGATTTGTAACAAAGAGTACTGTGAAATTAAAGTGCATGTAAGTCAGTATTGCCTACCCTTTTGTTGGGTGAATTATTTTTATTAAAGCACACAATTGAGTTATGTTTAAACAGGAAATCGAAAGGTAAAACAGTCATGATTCCACCACACAGAAATGTCTGCTGCTACCAACATTTTCATACTTGACACTTTGTATTCAAGATAGACATTTTACAACATCAGAATCATGTAGTATGTGGCTTTTGTTTTATATCTGTTTCTCTGTTTGTTTTCAGAATAGAATAAAAGTTTATCTTTTAAATGCCACATGTACAGGAGATGCTGAGAAAGTCCTTGTCATCTCTGATGGAGCAGCAGAACTGTTTGGTGAATGCAAGCACAATTAAAGATAAGATAATATAAAATAATTTGAAAAATCCTTTCTCTGTACACTTTCAAAATAGAGTAAGAAAGATAAAAACAACAGTTTCTTTTTCTGCCAGCTGGAAAATGTGTTTCTATTCATTTCATGCCTGGTTTGGCTTACTTAAAATTCACATCTCATAACTCTTTAAAACAATGGCACCAAATAATTACATAATACAATATTGTGACAATGGATGTACTCTTATTCTTGGTTTTGTGAGCAGTTATAAACAACATTGTACAAAAATGTTGATCTGTGTCATCGATGGCTTTCTCATGAATCTTTGACTTTCTTACAAAAGAATCTTTGATATATCCTTGATAAAATACTACTGAGGATCTTGTCCTAACACAGAGCCTTTTTCCATGTAGGTGACTCTCTGGAAGTACTTTTCTCCCATATGACTCATGTTGGATTCCTACACTACATTCATATTATTACACCAAAGAGCATTTTACCTGAGCACTTGTGTAAAAGGTCATTTCTACCACTTCGAAAATCATTCCTTATCTCCTCACCTTGCATTATTTTTCATCTCAGTATTCACTAGCACCTAATAAGGCCATCCCTTACTCTTTTTGTATACTAATGCCAAAATAGGAGCTAGTGCCATGAGCATGCTACTCTATGTGTGTGTGTGTGTATGTATGTATGTATATGTATATTTATAGTGTATGTGTGCATGTAAATTTTCTGATCCAACCAGTCACTCTCCACCATCTTTATATTTAGGATGATTATTGATATATGAAGACTTGCTACTACTATTTTGCCTTTAGTTTTCTGGTTCTATCTTATTCAGTTTTCTTGTGGATTTTCTTTGATTTAGATATGAGTGTTCCTTTCAACATTTTTGTAGGGAAGATCTAATTTTGCAAACTCCTTTAGCTTCTATTTGACTGGAAATAAGCTATACTTTCTTGACTTTTAAATGAACAGTCCTAATTTGTCTCTGTATATAGACCACCTGCTGTTTTTTCTTAGTCCAACATCATTAGCCTTAAAAGAGATTGTCTTTACTAATTTTAGTTTTAGGATTGTGGTTAGATGTGTTTGCCTCTGTAGGTATTTTTAAGAGAAAGTTGCATGAGATCAACTCTCAGTGCAGAGTATTAATCAGATATCTTGAATGACTAGAAATTTGATAGTAATATTTTCCTTGTCTTTTATTTCATATCTTCTTCAATCCCAAAGTGACTCTTTTTCAAAGGGAAAATGCCAAGATGTAAAATAGAATGTGGGAAATGTCAAAAACACATGAAAAGTGACTAATATTTTCTTGTTACAATGTATCACTTCAAAATTATGTCTTTATAACTTCATATAGAAATATTATATCCTGTAATTTTGGATATTTTTAATTGAAATAATTTTAAATTATTTTCTCATTTATAATATATTCTAACTATCTCTAAATATACAAGATAGGGTTTTGGTGGTAAAATTATCTGAGCTGTATGAATCTTTTTCAAATTAGATGATTTTAGTGAAAATAAGCTACTCTGTTTGATTAAATCTCCATGACTTCTAGAGTAGCAAAACCTGTGGAAATGAACCTGGAAAGTGAGTAGGGTAAAGCTGACAGGCTTATTTTCAATAGCATCTTGGTAATGATACAAGATTCTGTGCTTCTGCAAACGGGACTATTTTCATAATATATCTGTATTTTAGAAGTGCCTGGTTGTTTTAGTCAACTGGCCATAAAAAACACATTGTATACTATGAAATCACCAAAACCCTTTCAAATGCTGACGTATGCATTATATTTTTGATAGGGTTTTGGGGAGTTCTCTGTGCTTTTTTGAAAGTCCTTTGTTTTGTGCATGTAGAAATTCTATTGAAATAGAGGCTAGAGGTAGGTAACCTTGTAGGAGCTTAGTTGTGAGCTAGTTGTGAGTTTTCAATGAGAGAAACAAGAAAACAAAGCTTCTTCATAATAGATGAAAATGGAACATAGGATAACCATTTGCATTGAATCACAGAAACTTCTAAAACCAGGCATCTCTTAAGCAGTAATTAGAATTCTTTAATTTTCTACATATCTTTTGGTTAAAAAGCCCAAAATATTTCAAATAATGCCTGTTTTCAATATATAAAATAGCTTCAACTCAACCTCTATGAGACACTCTAAAAGTCACTGTTACTGTTTTTATTTAATTTGTAGTTTTTAAATTTATTTACTGACAATCAAAACCTCCTTTTAAACTAGAAAATCCTAATGTCTGTTCCAACATGCACCCATAACTGATGTTAATACAATACTATTACTACTTTATTATTACAGCTTTTGTAATTCATCCTATCCACCATATAGTATCTTATTTTGTTTCTCTCACCTGTGTCCATTCTTGGGTTTTGTTTTATTTAAGTCAGACAATGCCCAATTTGAAGACAATTTAATTGGCCAAGTAGAGGCTAATGAAATGGAAATGCTAAATTCAGCATCCATATGGAATATTGCCATTTCTATATAGTATTGCAGCAGGTGATGCATTGTAGAACCACTAAATAAATAGGGTGAGAAAATGTGGGTGTGGCAGTTTGTCTTTGAGTGATGGCTATTGGGGAAAAAGGGGCAACTGTCTAATATAATCATATGAGGCATGTGCTCCTTAATTGGATTGGAGTACCCAAAAGTGTTTATTTGTTTTGAAATAAAATTTCCTGTAATTTCTGTCTCATTCACTTATTGATAAGGATGGTGACTATTAAAATATTTGGAAGGAATATGCAAACTTAATGTATGAAATTTAAACAAAGCCGTTAGTTTTTAAAGATAGCATGTCTCTTTAGTGTTTTATAAATTTTCTAGTATTTTGAACTCTCATTTTTTTTTTGACATGTTAAAGTAGGGTCACATTTGAGAACAACTTATGGAGAAGAAAATGAAATTCTGATTAAAATTTTTTCATAGTGAAATCACACTATGACATATAATGATGGTATATAAATTGAAAGATTTTAAACAGCTATTCCTGCTCCTTAAAGTGTTATGATTTTTATTTCCTTTAAGCAGAGAGATCTTTGATCACAGTACTTTCATTTGCAGTTAGGCATAACAAATGCTAGCTATCTCTATGTGATGTATTAGTTATTTCTGTCATCTCTATCTCCCCAGCTTGAAATTTCATATAAAACAAATGTTTCAATCCTGTTTGATCCAGCATGGAAAAAAAAAGTTTTGAATTTCTTAATAGAACAATATCTTGAAATTAACCATTCTGTAAAAAGAAACTTGCCAATTACCTTTCGTCTAGTTCATATCTTTGACATATTTGCCATTCAAAATATTTCTAGATTGTAGTGTCTGCTTGGTTTTGGTTATCTAAGCTGTAATAAGTAGTCTTGGGACCCCTGAAGGCACACCCCACACACTTATGCTGTGTGACCTGAGGTCACAAGTAATGGCTGCAAGCTAATTGATTGAGAAAGGCTTGTCTGGCAGGGCCTCTCTCTGTCCTCCCTTTACATTCCTAAGTTCTGTGAAAGAGGCACTAGCAGCTCAGCCTAGCAAGGAAGGAAAAAAGGAGGAAGTTTCTCTGCGTTTTGATTACACTCTGAATTCCCTTGTAGTGAGCTTACTTCTCTCCACCCACTTCTTCTTACAAGAACTTAACTTGAAGGTGAACAACTAAAAGCCTGGCCCCAGAGAGGTGTCCGAAAAGTGATTTGAGTATTTAATGAACTGAAAGAACAAATTACTTACTTCAGGCGGCGGGAAGCATATGGCAATTATATTAGAACTTCAGCAAAGTGCACAGCCGCATAATACAGAAGCTGGAACTCAGATTGACAGGCAAATAAGCCAGCTCGTAGAAGGGGCCTCTGGGTGGCAGCTCTGGGCTATTGGGTGTTGGACAACTATAGGCAAAACTGAAATGGAACAGGGGCAGAAAATAGCACACTTTTACGCTACGCAACCGTTGCTTTCGCCTGGTGAGTGCAGATTTAAGATATTATTTTAAGTGTACTTTCTATGTTGTAAAGCAAGTAAAGAAATCTGTTGTGCTTTCAGAGAAGTTTTAGCCAGAGCATTTTCTTATGAATTCTTAGGTGATTTGCTTTTGTTTCTGCTTGATTTCACATTAAACTTGGCAGTGCTAACAGAGAAATACAATATTTGTCTTGTCTTGCGAGTCCTGAGTCCTTTTTCTTAAGATGGTCCTTTTGTTTAAATCATGCTTCTCTTCAACCTGAATAAATATTGTTTTAGGCAAATCATGTGTGGAATAGATAATGAGGAACAAACAGTGTGACAGAATATATGTAAACATTTCATTTGCTTCAACTTTGTGTCACTTCTCCACGGCTTTATGTTTTGTCTCCTTATTTCAGGAATATGTTGCACTTATATTTATCCAAAGCTTTTATGTGAAAAGAGCTTTGTGTGAGAATTCCTGTGAGTTAAAGGGTCAGGGCCTGTGTCTTATCTGACTGCCAGCAAGACTCACTGGGGTGTCCTCTTATTTTTATCCTAAAGTAAGAGAAAAAGAGCATTTTAACATATTAAAAAAGTGTTTTGTTTCTAACAGTTGTCTTCTAATAGTTTAGGTGTGTTATTCCTGGCAAAAGATTGTTTAAACTTCTTTTGAGACACAGCATGCAAACTTCTTTTGTTTCTTTTTGTCTAGTTTGCTCACATTTGACTGTAGAAATTTTGCACAGTTTTTGTTTTTTTAATTTTAATTATCTTGAAACAATAGAGTGGTTTTATTTCAGTGCAAAAGCCTTGGAAGTTAGTAGGCTTACTCTTCTGGAAAAGAAATGCCTAAGAATATAAATTGTGCTTAATTCCTAGACTAGACATATTTACAATCCTATTTTAAATGTGCTGCCTTTAGGAAAAAATTTGAATCTACAGGGGTCTTCCTAGAAATGTTATGGAGGACATTTTTTGCACAAACTGCATATTCCATATTGTATTTTGATAAGTGCCAAAGTGTTAGGACTGTCAATTGACTTTGTTTAAAAAGCAGTTTTATTAACTAGGTGATGGAGTTAGATGTTATCAAATGAATGAGGTGAAAAATGTGTCCTCCACACTGCTGATTTGAGAAAATAAAGAGATCTGTGGTGATACTGTGTTTCTCATGCAAGCATTTAAAACAGCAGCTCTGTAATACAAATTTTGAATAATTTTAAAAATAAAATTTACTAAAGTAAGCTCCTTAGGTTTTGTGATATATAGCTCCTGTTTTTTGAAATCAATTAATAAAATGAAAAAATATTTTAGAGTAATTGTGAAAGCTATAAAACTTTACAATAAAAGGAGGAAGCTTTTAAGGAGGAATGAATCTATTTTTGCTTCTCAAGCAATTTTGAAGTGTTCCTTAGCTCTCCTTTTCCAAAGATTTATGGAAAACTAACAACTTTTGCAGAATTAAATAATTTTGACTTTGATATAAAAACAATGTATAAGAGGGATAATTATTTTCCAGCTATTCTTATCATTTGATACAAATTCCTTTCAACAATTGCAAAATGTGACTGACAAGTCCCTTTCTAAGAGAACAATTTAATTATGTTAGTCACCTGTTACATGCATTCTTTTTTTGCCTATACACAAGCCCTAGCTATTTACTAGTGCTGCAGAAAAGTAAAAACCTTTTTTGTTTAAGGAAAAAAATGTCAGTTTCATTTGCTTAAACTCTTTGAGTTTTTTTTAAAAAAATATATGCTCATCAGAAACCACCCAAAGTGTATTTAATAAGGTCTCTTGTTATGATCTTGATATGAAAAGTTAAGAAGATACAAATTATTTGGGTTTTCTTTTAATATGTATCTGTAAGTAAAATGAAGGTGTGACTGAGAATTTATGAAAGCCTCTACCAAGAGACCAGTCTCTTTAAAACATCTAAACTTGGGGTCCAGATTGTTTAAAAAAAAAGTTTACCCCTTACCTCGTTTTTCCAAACCATTCCAGAGATCAAAAGTTAAAGGGAACTTCATTATTTTCTTGATGTTCTAAAGTCTAACCACAACTCAGGAAGTTACTATGTGATAGGGAGGGGCTGCAAAAGGGCTTCCCTCTAATGGAAGAACATAAATTGTGGCAAACAAAAGGCTTAGTTTTCTGGATATTTAATCGTAAACTACTAGTTCATACTTACTTTTTGCTTGGTGGTTGAGCAGAAATTTATTTTAGCCATTATCTTATTTTTCTTACATAATGCTAATTTTCCACAGAAGTTTAAATTGTGTATTAGATAAATAGTAAACAAGGAAATTATGTTCATAAATTAATGTATCTCATATATATATATACACGTTTATAATTGAACATATTAGCTATCATTGTCCTTATCCTGAATTGCTATATTATACCAGATTGGAGTGAGGTGTGTGGTTGTGTGTGTGTTTGTGTATGTGTATTATGTGTGGTGTTTGCATTTGCACTTACAAGCTCACAAAGAGGGTGACAGAGTGACCTGACATATGCTAAGGTTATGGCACTCTTTGACTTCTTTAATTCTCATGGTCACTAGACTTAAGGATTTTTCTGTACATTTTTAACAGTAGACATCTGGTGAGTGAAATTATGCCTTCGCTGTTGAGGATGAAAGTCACATGAACTATATTTTTGTTTCAATTATATTCATCAATTTGTTTTTAGAAATGACTTATTCTATCAAAATGTTGGGCAAAATCTATAGGATTTGATTCTATAGTTGCTGACAAATCATAGGTTTCCTGGAGAGTGGCAGTATGGTTTTTATTATTCTTTTTACAGGGAAGAGTATAGTGGTTGTCCATCTTTCTAGACACTTTGATCTTAGGACTCACATCTTTTTTAAATTACGGAAAACTCCAGACTTTTCAAATATTGCCTTTTTTTTTTAACCATTAGCTCTAATCTCTTTTTCCTAATAGTTTTATGTTGAAGCCCCAATAGGTCATCCATATTTTTTTCAGTTCTCTTTCACATTCTTTTATGTATCTTCTGTGCTGCATTTTTGGGAATTACTCAGGCGTACTTTCCGATTTGCTAATTCTTGTTTTGACTGTGTCCATTTCAGAATTTTTTAACAATATATTTTTTTATGAAAATTCTAATTGTTTCTCTTGTCATAACCACTTTTATTGTTTCATCCTTTTCTTTATAAATTGTATTCACATTATTTCTTTGTTTCATCAAGGATACTAACATACTTATTTTGAAATGCTGAAATTATTCATTATTTTCATGTCATCTGGAATGACTTCACAGACTTAAAAATTTTACTGGTGATAATTTTATTTTACTTCCAGTGTGTTGGAATTTTGGTTTTTAGATTCAACCTGAGTGGGAAGGATTAAAAAAAAAAAATCTCTCTCTCTTTGCTAGCAGACTCCGGGTCTGTAGTAATCTTCCCTGTGCCCAGTTCATAATCTCATATGGGAATAGCAGAGACTAGTAACCAATTCAAATAACCATTTGACTCTTTCTGCCTCTGGCCTTCCTATCTAAGCGGCTCTATGCAAACCTTAGTTCCGGGATGGTAGTCAGTTATTTAGCTTCCTGTCATCTTACCCTCTGGTTTCAATCTGTAAACTGATTTTCACTCCTTGGGTGGCAAGTGTGATACCTCAGGACCTTGCAGCTATAGGGAATTGTTTTCCTTCCATCCCAGAAACCAGCTATGCACTGTAGGTCAGTTTTTGTTTCTATTCTTCTGTCTCTGGTCTCCAGCAGTTTATTTTGCTTTGATGTCATCTTTATTATCTTCTTAATATTTTTACCTATTAGTGTTATAGTTGGACACAAAGGCCAGGGGCTCAAACCATGTTCTTCCAATGTCATTTTGACAAGTTTCTCTAAACCATGGGCTTTGGAATCAGAAAACATGGCTTCAAATCTCAATTCACTTGTGAACTGTGTTACCTTAAAGTTTTTAATCTCTTAAATATCTCCATCTTACCATGGAAAATATTGATAGCAACATCCATTTTGTAAGATTGTTCCCAGCACTGAATGCCATACTGTTTAGATAGTAATTATCCCTGTCCTTGACCGTATAAAGTGTGCAAGTTATAGAAGGAAGAAAATCAACTAAATCCAAACTAAATCAAATGCTATCAATTAGGTAGTAGATGGTTATAGAACTATAAAATAGACTTTATCCCTTGTTTTCTGAGTAAATACATTGTTGCTCTTGAGAAATGAATGTCAGTTGTATTGTTTTCATGTCTAGTGAGTACTAGGTGTGCTGTTAGACTATTTACATACAATAGCAAGTACAAATAATTATACATCAGAGAAATTCAGTATAATAGGTAACACTATTCAGTGACCACATTGATATAGTTATTCTAAATCTATGCTGCTTAAGCAGAGTAAGAGTGCAAGAAAGTAGGGGCATGACATGTTTTTGGCTTTAAATATATGTTGCAATTTAACACAATGATGAGTTTCCATAATAGTGAAAAAATGAAAAAGTGGTAGAGAATCTTTTCTAAAGATTTCAGATGCTCGTGTTAGTCACCAATGTGTAATATTAGTATCATTTAAATATTAATATCTTTTGCAAACATCTGTTTGACTACAGCATTCAAATTTACAGCATCTGCAGAGAGTATGTGTGACTGGGTAGGAAATAACTTTCTAAAAATCAAAAGGTTTTAAAAGAACATGAAGAAAGATGAGGATGAAGATGAAGAAGCTGCAGCAGCTTGCTTGGAATTAGTCTTGTATGAAAATAGAGAAAATAGAAACAAGTTTCTAAGATGGTATTGCCAACATATCCCCGGCATTTATGAAATAAACATTTTATTTTCCTTTCTTACCACCGGTTTCCATCCACCATGTTAGCCTCCCACTTTCATTTCTATTTGTGGGAACATCTTTTGCTCATTCCTTAAATATTCATGTGCTTTAATACTCCTGCCTGGGTGGCTTTTTCTTCTCCCTGGTTCATCTCATCCTGCACCATGACTTTAGATACCAGTATTGGATATTC